ATTTGTCTTTCTCCATCTGACTTTATTTCACTTAGCATAATCCCTTCCAGCTCAATCCGTGTTGTTAAAATGGCCAGACTTCATTATTCCATTTTAAATATATACCTAATCCACTCATCTGACCTTGGGCATTTAGGTTGTTTCCATATCTTGGCCATTGCAAATAGTGCTGCCATGAACACAGTGCATGTATCCTCTGAGTTAGTATTTTTGCTTTCTTTCTGTGGTTGCATAGGAAAAAAAATACTGGATCATATGGTAGATCTATTTTTAGTATTTTGAGAAATGTGCATACTGTTTTTCAATGAGGTTGGACTAGTCTACAATCCCACCAACAATGTATAAGGATTCCTTTTGCTCCATACAACACTTATTCCTCAAACAACTCTTATTGCTTGTAGTTTTTTGGATACAGACCATTCTCACAGGTATGAGGTGGTATCTCACTGTGATTTGAGATGCATTTTAAATTCTCTACTACATAGGCATCATAATCATTCATCAAAGTCATAATATAAAATATTCATTAAAGCATTATAATAATTTCCAAAGCATACATTGATTTTTAGTAATTGTTGGTGTGGTCTTTTATTGGGTGTGTATCTCTAGCTAGTGATGCCCCTGTGTGAGCCTTGATGTCACATAAGAAATGGTATAAAACATTAGGTTATTGATGTCCAGTTCTTCCTTGTAGCCTGAGGGCAGCTGATGGAACGTGTAGACCCACCTCTGGATGTCAGCAATTTTCACATGATCCAGGCCTGGAGTACCTGGCCTTTGATCCATCTGTGCATTGCCACTGTCAATTTGGGTCATCTGGAGCAGTGGTGGGGGATCAGACACTCCTCTCTGCTGTCACATCGATCCACTCAGCAGCCAAATGAGGCTGCAGGAACCTGTGCCCTTACTGCTCTTAGGACCTGATTTTATGGCCATTACTTTCATGATATCTTGAGATACTTTAGAATCACTAAATAGAACATTTCTCTTTAATAGAGTAATAATGTTCCTGGTGTAGAAGCCTCTTCCAGCTTTTGCTGAACTGATAATTACTTTCAAAGTTTTCTATTCTTTATGATACTGAGATACTCCTTTATTCATTATCTTCATAATCAATTAAATAATTCTGTGTCAAAAAACCTATTTAACTATGATCATTGGGACACCCAATGATAATTAACTTGAACTAATGAGTATATATTAGAAATTATACTATAAATTAATCATATACTTTCTCATAGTTACTGTTATGCTACAGATTAACTGAAAGAGAAGTATTTCATGATTTTACAAACTAGTTCATTTATATAAGTGTCTAATAGCTTAATATCAGCTCTATGTGAACCCAGTATGTGGTTCCTTTGGGGCCAGTAGGTTCTCAGTCACAAGAAATGAAGAAAATACCCAGACACTTCTGAATCACCTACAATGTTGTACACTGGTGTTGCCACAATAAAAAAGAAAAAAAGAAATAATGAAGTGTTGCCATGGAGAGAATTTTAAGAAGATCTTTTGCATAAATGTTTATTCCATGAATCAATAAATCAATCAATAAATTAACACTTATGATCAATACTTTAAATTTCCCCTACCATGTGATGTAAGGATTCTAGCTCCTCAATTCAAGGTGCTAGGAAATTGGCTGTCAACATGAAAGATAATACTCCTGTCTATTTGGAGTTTCATTTTATAAGTAAATGAGAAAATAGGGAGAATAATACAATTTCTTATACTCATAAAAGGCATGAAGAAAAAACAATAAGAGAATGGAAAAAAAAAGTTTTCAGGTTATTTGTATCTTTCTTTGTTTCAAACAAACCCATCAAAGGATGTAACTCTTTGGTCTTTCCAATTCAGAGGATGGTCAAACCTCGTTTTCTCTCCTATTTCCATTGTAAAACTATGCTATGGAATTTCCTTTTGGCATATCTGAAAAAATCTTTTTACACTCCTAAATGCCAAGGATAGTCTTCACTTCAAGTCTGAAAGAGAATTATGAGGAAGACAATTGAGTTGTCCACCTAGAAAATAGCCTGGCGTGAAGCTTAAGTGCTAGTGCTTTGCTAAGAGGCACCATTCCAGGGGAGCGAGGGTGAAGGTAAAAGTGCAATGAGGCAGGGAGGGAAAGCAAATGCAGGGTAGTACTTCACTTAACACACTGTCCACAGCATTATGAGATCCGCAGCTGGTTTATACAGTTTGTCCCTAAATAGGTCATAAAGAACCACCACACCTTGGAATAGCTCTTTAGAAAAAAAAAAAAAAAAAGGAACTGTCATTTTTCTGACACTTCCTCTGGTCTCCTATGGCTCTTTTCAAGTTTTCCCTGAGGGCCATTAACACTTTATACTCCTGTGGCCCTCAGGACTTGGGGAAATAAACTCTTATGCTCAATGATAGAGAATGGCATCTCAGCTTGGACGTGGAAAGAGGAGTCACAACCTCACTGGCACTGGCGCCATTGGTCCTGGGCTCTCATTGTAAATGACTCAATGAAAGCCCTGTCAGAACCCAGCCCTCTTCCTCAGGGAGACCAATGCCAATGTCTGTGCCAGGGGTGGTAGTGGCAGCTGGAGTTTCCCCAGCAAGTGGCATAGAGCTCAACAAGCACATTTCATCAAGCGAATCTAAGAAAACACATATATCAGATCTTATAAACCTACCAGTCACAATTTGTGGTCATGCAAATGGTTCTGGAGCTAGTTCCTAGAATTTGTTGAACAGTGAAAGTCTTCTGTATCTAAATTAATCTCACCAATGATGATTTTGAAAATAATGTTCTCACATAGAGACCATTTCTGTTTATTACACATAACTATCATTATTTCACATTATTCTCATCCATTTCTAAAGCTTCTCTGTACATGTCACCCTTTATAGAAATATGCTTAAAATTATAGTAAATAGGACCAAATGGACAAACACATGTACCATTGACTTTAAGCTTCTTAAGAGGCAAGATGTGTAGTCTCACCTATGTCAATGTTCAGTGGCCAATCTTCTGTCACTGGTTTATATTTCTATTGATTTCAGTTGGCCCAGATGTCTTTTGGGCACATATTCTAAAAAAAGATTTGATTTTTTTGATTTTTCCTATGAAAATGGACATTGGGTTGTACATACAATCTACACATTCCAGATTGCAGAATTGGACATGCTTTGTACTAAAACATGCTATTTTCATATCACAAGAGTTCTCTGGAGAACTGTTAAATAATTTTCAGGTATTTCTTCTCCCTCATTTTTACATCTTTGGCTTGCATCTCCTACTGTTTCAAATATCTGAGCATATCTTCCTTTTCCATGTAAAGTTCTTCAGAGGCAAGAGTCTGTTTAATTCATATTTTTATGTTTACAACAAATTACAGAGCCTAGTTGATGTTTTGGTGGCTGTTTGATAATTGATAAATGACTGTATGATCTCAAATGCACATGTCCCTCTTTGGCTAGCAGATAGTCCAGTTCACCAATATCACCTTAGAGAAAAAAAATGATCTCCATCTTTGATGCTCCCAAATCTACCTGGGGACAATTCCAACAGATCTGCATTTATGATGGTTTGGGGGCTGGAATGGGAATGGAAAATTTGTGACCATGGTTTGGGGCCTGGAATGGGGAATTTGCCCAGCTTTATGGACCAATTTTGGTCTGAGTGTCAGTACCACTTCTTTGCAATGTTCTCTACTTCTCACAGCTCACTCTTAAGAGACATTATCTCATCCAGCTCTGAAAGGTATAACACTTTAGTGTTGTTACACTTAAAGGGGAAGGAAGACAAGGCAGAAAGGCCTGCGGCTATCTAACTAACACCATTACAGTAGATTACAAGGTGAGAGTGTTTATGTAGCTTTTTATATCACAAAACTCACTCATAACACTATCTGAAGATTGCAAAAGGAAAACATTAATGGCAGGAAATGCTAGAGTAGAAAAATTCTCTATGCTTTGGACCACATTATGGAAAGATATGTTTTATAAGGATAATATTACACTGGGTGTTTGCTGTCGTCTGCAGAGTGCTGTGAGTTCATTTAGAAGTTAACTCTTACCATGCCCCTGAAAGGAAAATGATGGAAGTGAGTTAGTTGCCCCTGTAAAATAAATATGCTAAATCACTGAGAGGTCAATGGCTACATGTTACAGAAATGTAGAGATTTGGATGGCAGAAGCTTTGCTTCCTTGTCGCTCCAGACTGCCAAGATGGTAAAGATACAGTTCTCCCAACTAAAGGTCTACCCAAGAGGATGCCCAGGATGGGGTGGCATGGCTGTGAAAATGCCATATGAATAAAGAGTCAGGATGCAGAGTGTTGGTTCTGGAGAAGAGGAGGCCTAAGAGGACATGGTCATAAACCAGACAAAATCTGGTTTTCATGAACTCAAGGGGTAGGACCATAATAATGAAGGGAAGAAACCTACAGAAAATAACTCCAAAACCATTGAAAAGGATAACTGAAACTCTCAGCATCCCTAAAGCAGTCCAGGCAAGCAGTCCAGTTACCTCTATCTCTCAGTAGGGAGAGATACTCAATAGGTATCTCTAAGTAGGGAGAGATACCCTGTGGCCAGCAGAATTAACCAGAAAGCAGATGTCTACTTGTAGAGAATCATCATATAAAAGGCATTGACAGAAGCCACCACTGCTCTGGTCTAATCCCCATCTCTTCCCAGCCTATTGCCATAGTCTCCTAACTAGTCTCCCGCTATGGCCCTTGCATTCCAGAAAAAAAAAAAAAAATCTACAGCATACTAGATCATTCTTCTATGAATAAATTAGATCAAATCACTACTCAAAAGCCCTACTATAAAGTCTTGTCTTACCTCAGGGCCTTTACACTTGCTCTTCCCTTTGCCCAGGAAAGTTCTTCCTCCAGATATATTCCTCTTGACTGGATCAGTCCCCAATTTACTGATCTCTTCACATCTGTCATTTTCTTAGTGAGCACAGATGACCCCTACTCTTGCTCCCCCATCTTCTCATGGTTTTATTGTTTTTTATAGACCTCAACATCTGACATCATGTTTCTGTGCTTACGAATCATCTGCTTCTACCATTAGAATTCAAGTTCCACGAGGGCAAGGGTTTTGTTTTGTTTTTTTTATTTTTGTCCAGTTTTGTTTACAAGATACATCCAAGGCACCTGGAAGAGTAGCAATGCCTCATAGAAGGTAGGTACTTGGGAAATAGGTGTTGAATGAATGAATGACATTTCTCAAAGACATTCCGGACTTTGAGAAATGAGTCTATGGGCTATGGAAAACAATTGGGTTGGTTTAAAGAGGTCATGCTATCAGTACTTTTGTGTCTAAAATGGTCTCTCCAACCGAATCAGGATAGGAGAACTTGAGTTCTAAGCTTTGGATATAAAGGAAGGCCACAAGGAAGACTAACCCAGAATCTAGGCAAGTGGCAAAGAGGGTGAGAGAGGCGTGCATTGAAGCCATGCTTTACAAACAAAACTGGGCAGAGAAATTCCACTTGGAAGGTCTAGTTTGTCTGTATGAAGCTACTTATTTGCCTGGGCGCCCTTTCTTTGCTGGGCCCTGAACTTCATCAGTGTGTACCCACATGGTCCATGCTTTTCTTTCCATTATGGTGAGAGGAGGCACAAGAATGTTTTCCTTGGCTTTCATAGTCCCAAATCAGAATCAATAGGATGAAATCCAACCAGAGTCCAAATCTAGCCCTGCTTCAGAACAGACCGGACATTTGGTATGTGAACAGACAGCCCAGATACCAACCCCCAGTTTCCATTACAAAAATAATAAAAGTTGGAGGGAAGTGAGATTGAAAAACCAAAGTAGAAGACTCAAGACATCCTCCTGTTTGTTTTTCTTCTGTTTCTAGGCCCCAAGCCAGGAGGGCCCTCTTCCCAATGGTTGCCTGGTTACAGCCAGAGAGGTTCGCCAGGGTAACATCTGGAATAAAGGTGGGTGGGCATGGAGCCAGGACCTGCTCGACTTGAGTGGGATCCGAGAAAGAAAGGAAAATAGAAATTTTTTTCTAATTACTGCCCAACCTTGAAGACAAAGGAAGGAAATATTTGAGATAAACAGAAAATATGTTAAAAGGTTTTCTTTTAAGGGTTTATTACAACTCATTAACATAGCAGAGGAATAGAAGGCATAGAGGGAACTCTGGAAGTCATACCCATTTTAATAAGCTGTGGTTTGGACTAGACATTTGTTACCCAAAACCCTGGACTTTAGGTATTTTAGTTTGATTCTTGTGTACTGCCTACTTCAGAGTAGAAGGAATGACATTCAATAATAATATCGTTATGATGATAAATGTGTATTAAGCACTTAACATATTCAAGTGAAGATTGTACATACATTATCTCATTTAACCCTTTGGAGTAAGACTGGGCCTTCGAGATGGCAAGGAATGTGCTACTGAATAGGTGACAATTGCCAGGCACCTAATTCCAAGACCTGTCTTCTTCTGCCCATACTTTGTACTTTCCTGCCACCTCCCACAGGTTACCTTCTTCCCAGGGACTATGCCCACATCCTGTGTTGCATCTCCCGACAGGGAGATGGTGCAGCACTGTGACCACAAGCCTGGAGATCGACTTCTTGTATCCAAACCTCAGCTGTTACCTTGAGCAAATAATTCTGAATCTCATGCTCCTCAGTATAAAAGGTTTAATGATGGCATGTATATGATAGGGTTATTGGAAGAATGAAAAGACATATAAAGCATTTAGTATGCTGTAATGACAACTATTTAGTAAACGTTTACTTATTTATAGGTTTATAATTTATATTCTTCATTTTCATTTGAGGATTCATGCAATGAGCACTTAATGCACCTTGAAGCCGGGGTGATGAGTGAAACACAACCACGGTCTTGGCAGGAGGTCCACATTCTGATGGCTCCTGTCTCCTGTCTCATGACTTCAACTTCCCTACTCCAGGGAGAATAGGTGTAGAGTTTCCCAGTGGCTTGCTCATCCCTTCTTCCCTACAGCCTAGCTGGGAAACTCATATAAACAAAGGAATCCATTTCCATGAACATTTATTGTAGACTTTTTTAGTTATTATGTGAGAATACAGAATAAGTTCTGTCCTTGTTCTCAGAAACTTTTCCAGGAGTAATTGAGGTTGAAATGAAATTTAGAATGTTCCTGTGTGATGGAATGTGTTCTAATCATCTTCTTCTATACTTTAAGGTGAATGTAGCTTAAAACACCAGTGTGACTGGTATGGTTTGGTTGTTCTAAACAATTTCTCCATTCCTGGATTCCCAATTTAAAAAAAAAAAAAGGTTAAGGATCCTGGTTCTGGGATTATGGTCTCAGTTTTAACAAATGACTTTATCTCTTTGTTCTTGATTCTTCATCTCTGAAATATGCATAATAACAATGATCATGGTACCTATTTTATAGACCTGTTAAGATGTGAGTGTGTTATTCAGCCCCATCTGGATGACTTAAACAATGGACACTTACTTCTCACAGTTCTGGAGGTTGGGGAGTCCAAGATCAAGGTGCCAGTAGAGTCATTTCTTGGTGAGAGCTCTTCCTGGCTTGCAGACCTCAACCTCCTTGTTTTATATGGTGGAAAGAGAAAACTCAGGTCTCTTCCTCTTCCAGAAGGGCCCTAATCCCATCATGTTGACTTCAACCCCATGACTTCATCCAAACGTAGTTGCTTCCCAAGGACCACAACTCCTTGGGAATTAGGATTTCAATATATGAATCTTATGGAAATACTAACATTCAATCCATAACAGTAATTAAAATTTAAGATCACCTTGGTTTTAACTATAATAGGACACCTAAGAGCAGATACCCTACTCTTACAAAAAAAAAAAAAATCAAATCCCAGCTAAATATTTTTGTTTTGGCAGAAATGATAACATAATTTAAACCTGAATACAAAAGGTAAAATAAAGACAAAAGAATCACAACCAGAGTGTAATTTCAGAAGGACGGAACTTATTACCATTCTATTTGTGACTGTGTATTCAGCACAGACTCTGACACCCAGTAGGAGCTTGGTAAACTGGGTGAAGGTGCCAAAGAACTACTGGTTTCTGATAGGAGATAATTAGCAATAAATCCAAGATAGTCCCTAGTTATTTGTATGACCCCCCAAAAGAATTGTTTTTGAACAGTATTCTGCCTGACATTCTGATCCGGTAAACACTGCATTCCCAACTGATATCCTAGTTCAGGACTCTTATCTTTTATTAGTCATCCTTTTAAAGGATGATTACAAAGTGATACTTTGATCCATACAATTCAAAGCACATGCTAATTTGACACATAATGCTAATCGTCTTGCGTTAGGAGGATTCAACAGTAGGCAAGCCATTGCCTTCAAGAAACACAGGGCCCAGTGGGAACCCACTGAATTTAGTGCTGTCCCCAAACTTCTGTACACAAATCAGAGGGGTGGGGTGGGAGGAAGTAGCACAGTAGCTGGGAAGACATCAAACATCAAAGAGAAGATATATCTGCGTTGTGTCTTGCAGATGTGATTGTCAGGTATCCAATTAGGGAAAGACAGAGAAGTGTGAACAAGTAGGATGAGCATGTGTTAAGTTGGCATGAGGATGGGAGACAATGTATTCATTCAAGGAAGGGCTCCTACACCCTGTTTATATTTTTGAACTCTGTTCTCTGAGTATAAAAAAAAATCAAGGGGAGGGCTGAGTAAATTTCAAAAACAGATAATATTGCCAGGAATGAGTACATGTCACCTGCAAATGGTAAGAAAGATGAAGGCGGCATTTCATAAGCACCAAAACAATCAGCTCAGCTCTGGGGTCTGCTCATGGCTGTGTGTGTTGCTGAAGCAGACAGGCCATGAGGATGATGGCTGGGGAGCTCAGACAGTGGTGTCAGCTGGAGAGAGTGTTCTAGGATTCCCGCTGATGGAGATGGAGGTTATATATTTGCTCAGGGCTGGGGGTGGGGGTGCATGATATATAGAACAAATGTTCTTTCCCTTTTCGAAGTCATAGATCTTTTAAGAATCTCATGTAATAAATCCTCTGTCAGGAAAATACAAGAAAACCACATGCATATGCATAAAGTCTATACTCAATTCCAGAATATTCAGAAACTCTGCTGAGAACCATGGAGTCCCAGGGATAAGGGAGGGGGTCCTAGCTGTAATCCTGATTGGAGGAAGTCTGGGGGGTGAAAAACTGGAGGAGAAGCTAGTAGGACTTAGGACAGATTTCCAATCTCCAAACTCCAGGGTACATGCCTCCTAGAAAACTCTGCTTTTGAGTTTAAATGTTCAGGTTTAGTGGGGTAGAATTTTTTTTTGGTTCCTGTCATCACTTTAAAATGGTCAACAAATCTCCTCCTCACCATCCCACACATATTTCTCTCTTCATGTGCTGCACCATCCCTAAGTGCCATTAAAGGAGTTCTGCAGACTCAGGAGGGAAATGTTGACCAGAAATGCTTTCTCTGCAACTGTGACTTACTAGCTTGGGCTGTGTGGAAACATCTAGCCTAGTGGTGAAAGACACTTGGGGCTCAGTGTAGAGTGTTACAGAATGGCAGGAGTTCCTTGAAAAGCAAACAAAATACAAAAATGAGAGTGAAGAGCTTCTGGGCTTTCGAGTGACATTGTTTTCCCCACAGCCGGAGCTCGAGATCTCAGCAATCAGACTTGGTGATTGTTAGGGATCTTTTGTCAAAAAATAAACCAGGCACAGGGCAGCAGAGACTGAATCTCTCCAGAATATCTCTGAAATGTTCCTTGTTTCTTCTAACTCTATGTTTGGTCACTACCTAGATACCATCTCCCAGACGATCTGGCCTTGTTTTTACACAACTGCCTTGCAATGTCCCTCATCCAGTATAACCATGGGCTTTCCCCACTGCCTCCTCCCTCTCCTATCCCTGCTTCTCTATCACCTACACTGCCTTCCATTATCTTTCTAGAATGAGAATACAGATCCAACTCTTCATTTTCTTGTACTGCCATTCAAAGCCCTTGGCATCTAGCTCACCCCGCCACCAACATCTAGCTCACTCCTGGTCCCACCCTCCTCCTATTTCACCACATCCTGAGCTTCAGTTACATGACACGACCTCAGTCCCCAAAACATACCTTCCTCTTTAAGACCATCTTGTTCTACAATATCTGGCAAACTCCAACCTAGGCTTCAAGGCTCACCTCAAGCATTGTACCCC